AGCAGTGGAACGCATCTTTAGGATGGTTGCAAAGATGAACGTGTAAGATACTAAGATAACAAGGAGAGCAAAATAGACAATGAGACTAGCAGCATAAACAAGAATCATCTCACTAGCATGTCTGTCAGAGCATGAGAGAATCATGACTGCTGGAACGTCACAGAAGAAGTGATGGACAGTATTGGAGTTACAGAAGGAGAGACTGAATGTGTCCCCAGTGTGGATGGAGGCATTCAGAAAACTCCCAATGTAGCAGACAATGGTCAGAGCAGCACATACACTTCTCGTCATGATGGTGGTGTAATGTAGGGGTTGGCACACTGCTACATAGCGATCATAAGCCATTAATGCCAGCAGGAAGTTTTCTGCTGTGGCAAAGGCTGCAAAACAGAACATCTGGGCAGCACAAGCACTGCGGGAGAGAACGGTGGTTCCTAGTAGTAGACCAGCAAGAACTGTGGGAGTGACAGCAGAGGAGTAACAAACATCCACCAGAGACAGGTGGCCAAGGAAGAAGTACATGGGAGTGTGGAGACGAGAGTCCCAGAGAATCAACACAATCATTCCCAGGTTCCCAATCATGTTGGAGAAGTAGATAAGAGTGAATAATACAAAGAGGGGGCCTTGCAGTTCTGGGTCATTGGTGATTCCTAAGAGGATGAACTCTGTTGCTTCTGTCCTGTTTCCCATCAAAGCTGCTTGCAAGTAAGACGATGCCCTGTAATGATGAAGAACAAAGAACAGCACATTAAATCTAGGGGTGACTGCAGTGAATCTAAATGTGTAAGTGCAATGTGCCTTATTTCAATTTAGGAATATCATGTGTTTCATGAGTCTTCACAAGTAAATCATGAATTTAAAATCCAAATTTAGTGCATTAATTTTCTATGTGGCTCCAAAAGGTTGAATAGGAGGTGCTCCTAGACCCACTTGTGAGATTTTAAATTCTATTTATGTGTAACGTGCAAGTTCAGAAATTTAATGGATTTCCCAGCATTGAATTTTGAATTTGTTTAGTAACTCTAGCACTTCAGCCTTTCCCACACTGGTACATTCTTAGATGTTGTTTTGTGAATGTGTGCAAACTGGCCTATGGTATTTGACATCTATTTTCAGTGATTCCTCTGTGTGCTATTATGAAACTAATAGTCTGTTGCAGTTAGGGTTATCAGTATTAACATGAGGTTAAATAGAGAAACTAAACTTGAAGGAATTCAGGGAAGAGCTGATACAGTGTCTGATAATGTTCTTGTAACAAGGCCAGAAGCTTACTATAGTATTCTTGAAAATGCCATATTAATATTACTGGGACTTCAACATTTTAGAAAATGGAAGTTCTACTCATGGAACTGGATTGTTCAACTTCTCCAGCCATTTGCATGTAATTTTTACTTCTAGAACATGTATTTTAAAATATCTTGTACAAATAAAAATGCCTAGGTTGATTTTCAAAAAAAAAAAACAAAAAACAAAAACCAACATTGAACAACTCCTGCTTAAATTTAGACAAGAAGGTATCAAGTTTGAGGAATATATTTTGTTAACAGAATACTTTTTATTGGCATACCAAGATTTATCACCAAATCTAAGTTTTAATTCAAATTTTATTTATTTTTTATTGCAAAGTCAAATATACAAGAGGAAGAGAGACAGACAGAAAGATCTTCCGACTGATGATTCACTTCTCAAGTGACCACACTAAGGGGTGTGGGAGAGGAAACACAAAGTGAGGGGGTGGAACCCTTTAACTTCTAAGACTGTATCGTGAAAAATACGAAATCTATTGAATTTATATAAACTGAAACTAAGAATAATGTGCCTTCTATGAGTTCATGCTCTGTCCATGCACCGCCCATAGGACTGATGGGTCTTTAGCCCTACTTGAGTCTATACTTATAATTCCATTTTTGTGCCACATTGATACCACAAATATTGAACTTTTGTACCTCTCAATTCCCATCAACTTGAAGACCTGCTTTGGTGGGAGTATGGAGCTTAATATTTTTATTAGAATCTTTTAAAATCAGGCTGATATTTTACATAATTTAATATTTTGTCCCTTAAGCAGCATTTCCACCCACATTAACTGCTCTTCCTTCTCAGTCTCTTTATACTCCGTGCACAAGTTTTCTTTATCAGTCTGGTTATACTATGTTTGAATACCTTAATACACGTAGTCAATATGATCATACATTCCACAATAGAGCAGGTGAACATTAATTATGCATAGCTGTGTGAGGCATATGGATGACTTGTGAAATTGAACAAGAGTCTAAAATTCGCAAGCACTATTGTGTTAGAAACAAAAGATTCAGTTTGCACTGAGTTCTATTCTAAACTATGTCTCTTTAGATACATTGCTACCTACATTAGCATTTGTGTCAATAATAACAATAATAATAAGGAGATGATTATGTGGTATGGGAAAATATCAAAATGTAATTCATACCTTTATATTCATACATGTGCTTTTCAAAATGAGTGATACGAAAAATTAGTGCCACACATCCAAACAATGCAAAGTCTGTAGCTATACAAGGACTGAAATTCTCCCATTTGCAACAAAATGAATGCCAGTGGAGGACAATATGTTAAATGAAATAAGCTTGACAGAAAGAAAGACATAATGTAATTCTAAATCTTTGACTAGAAGCCAACAGCTCATAAACAAACTGAAACCACCACCTGGTGAATTAAAGCCTCATCTATTCCATCTTTCTGCAATAGTTGCAGGAAGTAACATCAAGCACCCTGTTGATGCAATCATGACATGGCCCACACCACTTAACTTCAGTGTTTCACAAACTTGTATTTCTGTGCTCCAAGTTGAGCAAGCAAACTGCCTCATGATTTTTTCCCAAATTGATCTTTCGGCATCAACTATACTTTAAACCAAATTGTGTGTTCACTAACATGCTTACCTTGCTCTTTGAAAGCAAATGAAAGTCAATTCTGAAGAGAAAGTTGGAAATTCATTCAGGGAATAACGCATGAAGGTCTAGCTAATTTCTCTTGCAGCGAGTGGTTAAAACATTCTGAAGGTCCCAAGGCAGTAGACGTGAAGGTACAGACCTGATCCAAGGTTCAGGCCATCACTCTACTGTGCATCACCTTAGGATCCTCGGAGCTGCCTCCTACCTCTCCCTTCTGTGTAAGCAGAGTTGTTGAATGAGCTCTCCTACATAATTCACAAAACTGAGCTTGAAAACAATCAAGAGAGGAAGGTAGACTCAGCAACTTGCACCTGCTAGTAGGTTCTCATCGTGGGTTGATGCAATGCTTTTCTGGAAGATCTTTTACACATGTTACTGCAGTATGAAGAAATGATGACTGAAGGACCCAGGGTTCTGTCCAGCCATTATAAAATGAAGTCACCTAGCGTCGTGTTGGATTTCAGGAGATGATGCAGGTGAACCATTAGGGAACTGGAGGATCCTTGAGCTCTCTAGGGATGTCGCCAACAAGGACACCTGCAGTCCTCACACCACTTACCGAGAAATGAGGCAATTAAAATCTCTGTTGGAAGTGCAATGGTATATCAAGTGTTCAATCATATTTTTTACTTATCTTATTCAGGATTTCTTTATTTTTCTGAGAGACCTAGAAGCATTATTATGTATATTTCTTGGGGCTGAGCTCTTAAAATGTGGTAAAAAATATTTTCATATTACCACTCTGTGAGCACAAGTAATTAATGTCCATAAACTTCTTTGTTATCAACCCATTCTCCAACCCAATGTCCCTGAAAATATAATCCATAGTTTTATCCATATGACGTTGTCCTTCCAACAATGACCTGAAACAGAATTCTAAGTTTCTGATTCTGCATCTATTGCTTAGCCCAGTGCACTGCAGAAGTATCTACGTTGGTATATACATCAAGCATAGTCCCTTTTATATTTCAAAATCATATTATTTTATATGAACTTTACATTTTTTCCACTCATTGACTTTGAAATAATAGAATCCCTAATCTATGAAAGTCAGACTCTGTTCACTGATGCAATCATGAGCTGGATAGGGGTGGACAATATAACGAGAATCTAAAGTTGTGGGACTTTGGTTAATTCCAGTAGCATGAATCTACTTCCCTGAGCATGAGAAATACTAAAAAATATCATGACAGAAGAGCCATGGGTGAAATTCAAATTTTGACCAAAAAATCTTACTTAAACTTTCTGTGACATGACTGAACAAGAAGCAGCATAGAGCTTGGAGAAGGATAACAAAGCAGTTCAAAAACATATCCTACCATAGCAGTATGAAATTTGGTAAAAGAAAAGATGAAAAATATCCCCCAGCTGGAGGCAACAGGTGCATTGCACCTAGCAAGTGTTACACTTTTGGGAGAAAGGAGGCTTTTACCTTGCAAACATCTGGACCTGCTTAATGCCAAATTTGTGTTATCTAAACAAGTTGCCAGCATAATTACCTATTCTATTCATTTTTTCTTTCTTCTTAAAAGATATGTGAGTGACAGACACCAGCACACTGGCATATGCCATCTGGGCACTTGTGCCAATCATGAGAAAGTGCCAGGACAGGTGGGCAGTCCACAGGGTGGTACAACACGCTAGCAGAAGCCTGGGCATATGGTTTGATGAGCTCACAATCTTGGGGAGCCATGGATTCCTCAAAATAGCACTCCTGGGAATGTGTGTTTGAGAGAACTGCTGAGAAAGAATGTGACAGGCAAGGAGTGACTTCTGGTGGACTTCTATGAACCTGGCTACTAGGCGTTGGTTAGACTGAGCAGGCTACTTCACATGGCAGGTGCAAGGGTTGGCTCTGAGGTTGACAGGTGTGTGACAAACTCTGTTGGCTGATTCTGAGGTTGACAGCTCTATATGCATAACAAAAGGATTTTGCATTCCATTGTAACCATCATTTTTCAGGCTTTACATTTAGGATCACTGTGCCTACTTTCTCTAAAATAAAAACTTTTGAAGAAGAAAGGATATCACCTCCATGATTTTTCTTGGCTAAGGTCATACTCCTATTTACAGTTTGACCTTCAGAATAACTTTCCTGAATGCACCCTTCACCTCCTTGTTCCTCAGGCTGTAGACCACAGGGTTCAGCATGGGGATGACCATGGTGTAAAACACAGATACTACTTTGTCTGTGTCCATGGAATGACTGGAGCTGGGCTGCAAATACATGAATATAAGAGTCCCAAAGAAAATGGAGACTGCAGTGAAGTGAGAGACACAGGTGGATAAGGCTTTCTGGTATCCAGCAGTGGAACGCATCTTTAGGATGGTTGCAAAGATGAACGTGTAAGATACTAAGATAACAAGGAGGGCAGAATAGACAATGAGACTGGATGCATAAACAAGAATCATCTCACTAGCATGTCTGTCAGAGCATGAGAGAATCATGACTGCTGGAACATCACAGAAGAAGTGATGGACAGTATTGGAGTTACAGAAGGAGAGACTGAATGTGTCCCCAGTGTGGATGGAGGCATTCAGAAAACTCCCAATGTAGCAGACAATGGTCAGAGCAGTACATACACTTCTCGTCATGATGGTGGTGTAATGTAGGGGTTGGCACACTGCTACATAGCGATCATAAGCCATTAATGCCAGCAGGAAGTTTTCTGCTGTGGCAAAGGCTGCAAAACAGAACATCTGGGCAGCACAAGCACTGCGGGAGAGAACGGTGGTTCCTACTAGTAGCCCAGCAAGAACTGTGGGAGTGACAGCAGAGGAGTAACAAACATCCACCAGAGACAGGTGGCCAAGGAAGAAGTACATGGGAGTGTGGAGACGAGAGTCCCAGAGAATCAACACAATCAGTCCCAGGTTCCCAATCATGTTGGAGAAGTAGATAAGAGTGAATAATACAAAGAGGGGGCCTTGCAGTTCTGGGTCATTGGTGATTCCTAAGAGGATGAACTCTGTTGCTTCTGTCCTGTTTCCCATCAAAGCTGCTTGCAAGTAAGACGATGCCCTGTAATGATGAAGAACAAAGAACAGCACATTAAATCTAGGGGTGACTGCAGTGAATCTAAATGTGTAAGTGCAATGTGCCTTATTTCAATTTAGGAATATCATGTGTTTCATGAGTCTTCACAAGTAAATCATGAATTTAAAATCCAAATTTAGTGCATTAATTTTCTATGTGGCTCCAAAAGGTTGAATAGGAGGTGCTCCTAGACCCACTTGTGAAATTTTAAATTCATGTGTAACGTGCAAGTTCAGAAATTTAATGGATTTCCCAGCATTGAATTTTGGAGTTAATAAATCTAGCACATCAACTTTTCCTAGGAAGGTACATTCATAGATGTTATGTTGCCTATGTACACAAAGAGATCTACAGATTTTGGCATTTTTTAAACTAATTGCATGTTTTAGTATTTATTTATTTATTAAAGACTTATTTTTGTTTTTGCACAGTTACATATATAGAGAAGAGAAGTGACAGAGAGGTAAATCTTCCATCTGTTTATTCCCCAATTCGTCACAACAGCCGAAGCTGAGTCAATTGGAAGCTAGCATCATGGATCATCTTTCCGGTCTCCCTCAGGAGTGCACAGTCCCAAAGGTTTGGGCCATCCTTGACTGCTGTCCCAGACCACAAGCTGGGAGTTGGATGGGAAGCGGGACCACTGGGATTAGAAGTGGTGCTCATATGGGATTCATGCATGTTCAAGGCAAAAATTGTAGCTGTTACACTACCATGCAGAGCCCATCTATTTAGTGATAACATTGAGCAACTGCTGCTTGAATTTAGGTGGTGATGGATCAGAAGTTTAGAAATGTGTTTTTGTTAACAATTATTTAGTGGTATGACAAGCTTTGGACACAGAATGGCTATCAAATCAAGTGGTCTTCAATGCCGATTGTAATTACTCATTGTCTCCCTTAGTTCAAACTCTTCGGTATTTCACAGAAAAATCACTAACTAATACATGGATAAAGAAACATAATGTTATGAGTTAGATTGGCACACCAGGAATTAACTGCTGTATTCAATAAGTCAGTTTTACTGATGTCTTGTCACTCAAAGGAAAGTAGGGTTTCCATTTTTATTTCATGTTGCTTTTATTATATGTAATTTTACATTTTTCTTTTTTCTCCTTCCTCTACCTGCTATGTCAAAATAGCTTTAAATATTAGGAAATCATATAGGCTAATATGAAGTGAACGAATAAGTTATTGAACTTGTTTGGGTAAAAACAATATGGGAAGGAGAAAGAAAATGGAGAGAGAACAGAGAGGAAACGTGGCACCCCTTGGCTTCTGAGCTTGTAGTGTGAAAAAAATGTTAGATTCATTGATTTTGTATAAAGTAAAAAGAAGAATAAAAAGGAAAACTACATATGAAATGTCTTTGGTAAAATATGGGGATGTCTAATCAACAGATAAAAGTCTGAGAGTGAAGGCGTGCATGGGGTATGGAGCTTGAGTTCTGGGAGGAGATGCATGCCAATCCTTTATCTAAAATGTGGGAATCACTGTTCCCACCGTAAAATCCTTGGTTCAGATTTTATTCACCTACACAATGAAGATGACACAAGATCTGCCTCAAGATATCACTGTAAGACTTAAATGAGACAACACATTTGAAAAACACAAACTAATGTTGCAAAATATTGGATGCTTAGCTCAGCCTGATGGACGTTTTGACTATTATTATGAAGATCATATGACACTCCTTACGTGATTTGAGAAGTGTCAATGGCAAGAAGTAGTGGCTTTGTGTGTGCACTGAGGCTCGAAGCCTCACCTCTCTGCTGCTTTGGTGTTTCTCTTTTTGTGTGACTATTTGCTGGCACCTTATGTGCCTTCTAGGAGTTCATGCTCTGTCCATGCTCTGCCCGTAGGACTCATGGGTCTTAATTCAACTTGAGTATTTTTTTTTTCGTTCCACCATTGTATCACATCAATATCACAAATATTGAACTTTCATAATCTGCAGTAGCTTGCAGATCTGTTTTGGTGGGAGCATGGAGCTTAACATTTTAAATTAGAATCTCACTTACTGTCATGCTGATATTTCACATAATTTAGTATTTTGTCCCTTAAGCAGCATTTCCATCCCACATTAACTGCACTTCCTTCTCTGTCTCCTTCTAATCCTTTTCTTTATCAGCCTGGTTATACTATATTTGAATACCTTAATATGTGTAGTCACTTTGACCATACACGCACACCATAGGGGGTGAACTCTAATTATGCATAGCTGTGTGCTTGTGGTTAAGATGGGTATTATTATTCCTGGTCTATCATTAAGGAAAATTGATGATTTCTTCAATTCATCAAGAGTCTACAATTCCCCAGAGCTACTGTGAACAAAGATTCAGTACATCATTGAGTTCTGCTGTAATCCAAAGTATGTGTTTTTAGGTACATCGCTGCCTACAATGCATATGTGTCAATAATAAACTACTAATAAATAATAAGGTTATGATTATGAGGTATGGGGAAATATCAAAATGTAATTCATATCATCTATACACATCCAAACAATGGAATGTTCCACAGCTCTATAAAAGGACTGAAATTCTCCCATTTGCAACAAAATAAATGCCAGTGGAGGACAATATGTTAAATGAAATAAGCTTGACAGAAAGAAAGATGTAATGTAATTCTAAATCTTTGACTAGAAGCCAACAGCTCATAAACAAACTGAAACCACCACCTGGTGAATTAAAGCCTCATCTATTCCATCTTTCTGTCAATAGTTGCAGGAAGTAACATCAAGCACCCTGTTGATGCAATCATGACATGGCCCACACCACTTAACTTCAGTGTTTCACAAACTTGTATTTCTGTGCTCCAAGTTGAGCAAGCAAACTGCCTCATGATTTTTCCCAAATTGATCTTTCGGCATCAACTATACTTTAAACCAAATTGTATGTTCACTAACATGCTTACCTTGCTCTTTGAAAGCAAATGAAAGTCAATTCTGAAGAGAAAGTTGGAAATTCATTCAGGGAATAACGCATGAAGGTCTAGCCAATTTCTCTTGCAGCGAGTGGTTAAAACATTCTGAAGGTCCCAAGGCAGTAGACGTGAAGGTACAGACCTGATCCAAGGTTCAGGCCATCACTCTACTGTGCATCACCTTAGGATCCTCGGAGCTGCCTCCTACCTCTCCCTTCTGTGTAAGCAGAGTTGTTGAATGAGCTCTCCTACATAATTCACAAAACTGAGCTTGAAAACAATCAAGAGAGGAAGGTAGACTCAGCAACTTGCACCTGCTAGTAGGTTCTCATCGTGGGTTGATGCAATGCTTTTCTGGAAGATCTTTTACACATGTTACTGCAGTATGAAGAAATGATGACTGAAGGACCTAGGGTTCTGTCCAGCCATTATAAAATGAAGTCACCTAGCGTCGTGTTGGATTTCAGGAGATGATGCAGGTGAACCATTAGGGAACTGGAGGATCCTTGAGCTCTCTAGGGATGTCGCCAACAAGGACACCTGCAGTCCTCACACCACTTACCGAGAAATGAGGCAATTAAAATCTCTGTTGGAAGCGCAATGGTATATCAAGTGTGCAATCATATTTTTTATTTATCTTATTCAGGATTTCTTTATTTTTCTGAGAGACCTAGAAGCATTATTATGTATATTTCTTGGGGCTGAGCTCTTAAAATGTGGTCAAAAATATTTTCATGTTATCACTCTGTGAGCACAAGTAATTAATGTCCATAAACTTCTTTGTTATCAACCCATTCTCCAACCCAATGTCCCTGAAAATATAATCCATAGTTTTATCCATATGACGTTGTCCTTCCAACAATGACCTGAAACAGAATTCTAAGTTTCTGATTCTGCATCTATTGCTTAACTCAGTGCACTGCAGAAGTATCTACGTTGGTATATACATCAAGCATAGTCCCTTTTATATTTCAAAATCAAATTATTTTATATGAACTTTACATTTTTTCCACTCCACAGGTGAGAATTTTTTTGTAGTATTTATACTACTTAGCATAACCAATAAGACTTACGTAATATTCCCAAAGATTTCTTCCTGTGTTTGTAAATACAGGCTTTCATCACATTATCCCACAAAGCCAAAATATTCTATTCCAAAATAGAGACCAAAAAAATAAAAGAAGTGAAAATCATAAAATATTATAGTGTCTGATCACAGCAAATGCTCCTACATAAGCAGATTCCTTTAGCCTATAATCCTATTTATATATGTTCTTAAAAATTGAAATAGTAGAATTTCTAATCCATAGAAAATTAATCTCTATTCACAGTTAGAATAATGAGGTAGGTAGAGGTGGACAATATATTGAGAATCTGAAGTTGTAGGACTTTGGTTAATTTCAGCAGCATGAATCCACTTCCCCATGCATGAGAAATACTAAAAAAAATCATGACAGTAGAACCATGGATGAAATTGAAATATTTTGACCAAAATAAACTTGTTTAAACTTCCTGTGACATGTCTGAAATTGATGCAGCACAGAGCTTGGAGAAGGATTACACAGCAGTTCAAGATCTTGCCAGATCTTTTTTCTTTTGTGTTTCTTTTTTCTTTCTTTCTTTTTTTTTTAAGATATGTGAGTGACAACAGCAGCACACTAATAAATGGAGTCTTGGCACCTGTGCCGACCATTGTGGGGCCCAGGACAGGTGGGCAGTCCACAGGGTGGTATAACACGCCAGCAGAAGCCTGGGCATATGGTTCGGTGAGCTCACAACCTTGGGGAGCCATGGATTCCTCAAAATAGCACTCCTGGGGATGTGTGTTTGAGAGAACTGCTGAGAAAGAATGTGACAGGCGAGGAGTGACTTCTGGTGGACTTCTATGAACCTGGCTTCAGTACTTGCAAGTAAACAAGGAGGCTGTGATCAGGTGGTTGGAGAAGGGAAGTCAGAGGTGCTTTGGAGGCCAAACCAATACACCTGCATTGTGGGAGACCTGAGCTGGACTTCTTGGTATCAACCACCATCTCACAGAGTACATGAAAACCATGGCTTGGGGCT